TACGTGCTTTTTCACTTTTTATAAAAGACAGTGTATCCTGATTAAGTTTCAGACTTGGTATAATGAATTTATCGACCTTCATAAATTTCACTGTACATCTCATACCGACAATTCGTATTCTTTAAGTTCTATGAAAATATTTCGCGTTTACCAGCGACCATGGCAAAGTTTATCAAATTGAATTAAGGGATTCATGAGGTAATTCAAAGTGCGGGTAAAGTTTTGTTTGAAAATGACTTGAATTTCTACAAGTCGACAGGGTTTACGAGTACAACTGATGGATTACGGAATATTTCGTTTATGAAATATACACGCATACACACCAAATTTTTTATTAGATAAATACCTCATTTACATGGAAGAAAAAATCGAGCGTCCCTGAAAATGTGAAACCAGCGAACCAGAATGCACGACCAAACATACAACCAGTCGCCATTAACGTTACGGTAGACACTTCGATTCACTGATTTGTTATAATTTTTTCCTTATGTCTTTTACAAAACTTTTTCTTTCATTATCGATATTTTTAGTCACTCTCAAAAGAACCAGCAGTACTACCGTTAAACGGAGTACGTAATTGATCGAACGATTAATAAAAAATTTATGGATCGACTATATAGCACGAACTTTTTTTCATATGAAAACAGTCAGAAAGTGGGCATGAAAAATAGAAAAATTAAATATATACTTTGAGAAATTTCTTAAACACGAAGTTTTCCATGATGAAAAATATTATAGCTTTTGAAATCGGATTTGAATTTTCTTTAAAATTCCTCCTTTACGCTTGGAGCTTGAAATATTTACGTAAATTCAAATTGCCGCTTTGCCTGTATACATGTATTCGAGTATCTTATGTATACATATATTCATATAGATATACATACTAGTGACACATGAGACATTCAGCGTGACGCAATGAAGAAATATTAATTATCAGCTAGACTGCTTTTTTTTTTTTGAGAAAATGCCAAAAATGTAACCGGAAGTTGAAGTTGCTTATAAATATTATATGTATATGTATATAACGTCCCTTATACCTATATACCCGATTATTCAACCCTAACGTCCAGCCAAACATATTTTACCATTTTACAATTATATATATATATATATATATAACTATAAGAAATATAGGCTTTCTTGAACTATTTTTGGATGTCAACACCAGATGGCTTAGGTGCAAACTTCCAATAAGTAGATCAAAACCACACATAGTCAGACGATCCGCTTGGGTTTACCTAACGGATTATTTAATGCTATGCTATGCAGCGGGTAAACATTCATATTTCGTATAAAGCCTTATTGATTAATGAGATATCAGAAGCCTGGACTTTGCAGAAATAAATGTCACTGAAGAGTTACCTTGTCAATTTTAAATAACAACTTTCTTGTGTTAACCCAACTACCATATTGTTGCTGCTGGCAAATATACATAATGTATTATATATAATATACATATAAATAATATACTATATAGAAATATAATACTTTAAATTAAATATATTTTATATATTATTACTATATTTATAAATATTTTCTTTTTTTTTTACTTATTCTTATTCCCGATACAGAATGAAGTTGAGTCACGTGTTTAACATCTTTGAAGGTTATACTATATTAAATCAGACTGTACTATACTAAAATGTTAATTAACAATTAAAATTAAATGGGAACGCTAGCCGAATAACTTTTTTTAATATATATTCCATCTATTTTTAGCTCGTTCAAGCATTCTGGTATTTCACGTGTAAACAAACTTTCCCTTGTACCAGCACGTATATGATTATTCATGACAAACGTAAAACCTGAAGGTGGTGTCTACCATAGAAGTCAAATTGGCTGACCAACTTCAGGTGGTTGACTTTATCGCGAATATCCTTAGTACGTATATATATGTATATACATATGTTTATGAAGAATATTCATTAAAATTTTGTGTTGAATTAAGGGAGTGGTTATGACAAGCAATAATTTCACTTTAATAGCATCTACCCCGAGTAAAAGCGCTAATTAAAAAAAAAAAGGAGGCTTGACAGTAAAACCACTCAGTTTTTATTTCGTTTCTTTAACTGTAACCAGTAAACAACAATTTTCGAACGACAACTCCACACTCTTTTTACGAACCTGAGTTAACCAATTTTTTTCTACTTTTCAATTTTGTTCCCTCTTTTCGTTCTATCCGGTAACGTACGCTACGCATAATACACTGTTTCAGTGATTGAGCAAGTGTTTGAAACTGTTGGGCCTCAAATCGAAGCCAACCGCAGACGCAGCTTTATGCAGTTAGATTTTATCCTACTAATTTATCCTACTTTTATCCTACTTTTATCCTACTAATTTATAGGGTGATGCGTAGCGATATACAGTAGAGTAGCGATATACAGCGATATACAGTCTGTGTCTTGTATATAATTCATTATATAGAGTAAGATGCCATTACTTTCGCACCGATTAAGTCTCTAATAATTTTCAAAATGTCACACTTTATAATTATAATTATAATCAATCATTTCTAAGATTCATTAACAAGTCTTTTACTCCACTTGACTACTTGAAACTATATATATTTTCAATGAAAAATATTATTTTTGACTATTACGAAAGACAAATAAAAAATCTTTTACACTGTATCTCGAGGCACAAAAACAAATTTATATCGAATGCATACCTAACTAAAGAAATGTTTGTGTTCGGAAATATGAAAATTTATGGTATCCGAAGAATTATTATTATCATTGTACCTAGATCGCGTGCCACGTATTCGCTTCTGACAAACAAGAAAACTTTTCTTCCCTTTTCTTCTCATCTTCCCTCTCTCTTTCATCTTTTCGCCCTCTCGCAAAACGATAAAGCGCGTCAAGCATATAACTTGCCGAAATATGTACCTCTTATCATTTCAGATCCCAGGACCATCCGTAGCAGCTCTTTTATAGGACCGGAATAAAATTTTTTTGGTTGATAACGCGATATCAGAACACTGATAAGAGACGCTACAAAAAGTATATCAGGGTTGACGAGATGGCTAGGAACAGGTTAGGGGTAGAAGGGTGGGAGGGAGGGAGGG